TGTATTCGATTTTTTTGATATATTTTATATTTTTTATTTTTTTGATATATTTTATTAAATAAAAAAACAAAGTAATTACACTTATTACTATGGTTAGAGTATATATAAAATCTGATGCATTTTTGTTTTTAGCAGAAGATTATTCATATATAATGCAATGTCATGATATAAAACAAGATACAAAATTTTAAAAGAATTATTAAATAAATATAAAACATCGTCAAAATGGATTTATTAGATTTGGAGAAGAGAAAAAGCTAATAGTGTTACTTGGGATCAACCTATATTTCAATCTCAAGAAATAGTAAAGCTACTACAGGTAAAAAATATAATACCTTTCCTTCTAGCTGATTCTTCTTTACCTTTTCTGATTGAATCGCAATCACAAATTCTAGTGGAAGTAATTCCTGTGATGAGTGTATTGGGGTCTTCAATGTTTGCTTTGCTTTTACTTGCTTTATTAATTATCACTACTATATGGATTACATTCATTAGACAGAAAAAAATAAAAAACAAAAGTAATAATATATATAAAGATATAATACCTCTGATTTAATTATAATAGTAGAGCTAGTAATAAATTATATATTTTTATACCAATATGCAAAAAATAAAACTATTCCTTATGGATGGACAAAGCTAATAAGTATATCGCATCTCATTGTCAAACTCATCTAGCTAGTTCTATATGGCCCTTCAAAATGATAGTTAGCGGAAAAAGTGGATCAAATAAGACTAATTTAGTTGCAAATCTTGTTTTGGGTGATAAAGATGAGTGCATATATAAAGGAAAAAAAGGTGAAAGGAGATATATTTCTTGTAATGATTTAATTGTATATGGATATCATCCTAATGAGCCAAAATGGGCATTTGTTAGATATATGTATAAATTAATTGCAAGTGATCTAAGAGCTCCATATTACGAAAATATTATATTTTACCTGAAAAGATTCCTAGAGTAGATTCATTCTCACCTGAAAGAAGTACAGTAATTATTTTTGAGGATGTATGTTTAGCATCAGAACATATCCAAAATTGAATTAGCCAGTTTTTTATACAAGAATGCTATAGAAATATTAATCCAATTTACATGTCACAAAAATATCATAAAATTTTACTTATTAATAGTGAAAATTCTAATTACTTGGTATTATTTAACTCAGGTAGCTCATATAAAGATATTTTAAAAATTATTCGTCGATATACTGATGATGTAAAAAATGTATCTATGATTATTAACAGCTATTTATGAAAAGGTGAGTTTGTTATATTTGATTTAGATAGACCCGAGGAAGATCTATTGACAATTTGGTTAAGATTCGATACACTATTAAATTTGCAGAAAGAGATAGAGTTACGGCAAAAGTGCAAGATAAAAAATATATTACCTGCTGAACCCACTTTTTAAATTTTTATTTCATATTGGTATTTTCTATTTCAGAAATTTCATAATATATTTCTTAATTGTGATCTCAAGAATAAATTATTGCAAAGCAATGAGGCTCTGCCTTTAGGAAAATGGTGGACAACTATCTATATATATCTTCAAGAGTATTAGTAGAACTAGCATAGCCAAAAAATATTATATAAATAGTATAGGTATTTTGTATTCGCAAGGAATTAATAAATCAAATAAATACTATGCTTCTATCTCTAAAAGTTGCTTTTGGAATCTAATCCACAATTGACTCTTTTTGCATTCTATCCAATTATCTGGAATATAATATTCTTTATATTGTCTATTAATAATAGAACTGCACATCATAGGATTGTTTTTATATAATTCAATCCATTTAGTATACTATTAATTAAATTGTTCTTGAGTCTGAGGATTTTTTACTTTATGTCGAGTTAAACCTAGAAATTTCTTATAATCTGGAGTATTATCATTTGCTAAGCTATTCCAAGTAAGTTGTATATTTGATGGCTCTCTTTCTTAAAATCATCTCCAAATATTTTAAATAATTCTTGCTGAACCATCTCTAGTTTTTGGTTTATTACAATCATGATCCCAATGTTCTTGTATCAGATCTTTAGGTTTGAGAATTTCTACATATCTACCTCTAGTATGATGAAATTTCTTTTTTAGCTTCACATTATTAATCTAAATAAGCTTCATACAATTGAGACAAATTGCTATATGAGTTTTATGAATTCTAGATCAGTAGTAATCATGATCTACAAATTTACCCTTACCAAATGCTAGAAATAGAGCATGTATATAGTAAATACTCCTCTTTCTCTTAGAGACTAGCTTTTGTAAAAGAATTCAAACTCTGAGTGCCTGTTGCTGTGGAGTTTTATTAGACTGAATAACTGATAAAGTAAAATATTGTCTTTTAGTCTCTAAGAGTTCTTCAAAGAATTGTTGATAATCATTAATACCATAATAATTCAGAATATATGAGTTGATATATTTCATGTCGTATTCTGGTCTATTATTAATAAGTTTTTGCGATTTAGCTTTTTTATCAATGATGACTGAAATACTGATGTTTGCTATATTTAATAAGATATAGTGATTTAAAGACTCATAATGATTATAAGACTTATAATATATTATATGATTTTATCAACTTTATACATAGTATAATTTCGATTCAAATTTTGTGTATTTGAAATCAATATAAAATGGCAAAATTATGTGAAAAATATCCCAATATATGAGCTTTGAGCCAAAGGCAAAAAGTTAGTTGAAATATTACTCAATTACATTATATTTGATTATATTACAATCTAATGCTAATTATTTTTATATTTTGCTGGTAAACCTCTTTTCGCAGGCTCAAGATCTTAAATAAATAGAAGCAAATATAAATATTGAGTTTGAAGAATGACTACATAGAATTTTTAACATAGCAATTATACTTACCGAAATAACTTCATCTTGAATTTTTAATTTTTGGTAATTGAGAACCTGACTTTAAAGATTTAGAATGCTTCCTATCCTGTATTACAAGCTTTTTTGATGTCTTTGCTTTTTTATTATTATTATCAATACCTACTTCTATATTATCTTCTGAATCTGAATTGCTAAATAAGGAGCCAAATTTTCTATTTTGCTTGATCATTGTTGAGTAAACAAAAAAAACGATACTATGTCGTATACCAGAAAGAACTGGTAGATTTTCATGAACCAGAATATTATAAAATTTCTAGAATAGAAAATACCAATGTGAAATAAAAATCTATAAAGTGGGTTCAGCAAGTAATATATTTTTTATCTTGTGCTTTTGCTATAACTTTATTTCTTTCTGCAAATTTAATGGTGTATCGAATCTTAACCAAATTGTCAATAGATCTTCCATAACGAACTCACCTTTTTATAAATAGCTGTTAATAATCATAGATGCATTTTTTACATCGTCAGTATATCGATGAATAATTTTTAAAATATCTTCATATAAGCTACCTGAGTTAAATAATACCAAGTAATTAGAATTTTCATGATTAATAAGTGGAATTTTATGATATTTCTGTAACATATAAATTAGACTAATATTTCTATGGCATCCTTGTATAAAAAACTGGCTAATTCGATTTTGGATATGTTCCGATGCTAAACATACATCCTCAAAAATAATTACTATACTTCTTTTAGGTGAGAATGAATCTACTCTAGGAATCTTTTCAGATAAAATATAGGTAAATCTAATATTTTTATAATATGAAGCTCTTGGATCACTTGCAATTAATTTATACATATATCTAACAAATGCCTATTTTGGCTTATTAAGATAATATCCACATACAATTAAATTATCACAAGAAATATATCTCCTTTCACCTTTTTTTCCTTTATATATATACTTACCTTTATCACCCAAAACAAGATTTGCAACTAAATTAGTCTTACTTGATCTGCTTCTTCCACTAACTATCATTTTGAAAGGCCACATAGGACTAGCTAGATGAGTTTGACAACGAGATACGATATGCTTATTAGCTTCATCTATATCTATAAGAAATAGTTTCATTTTTTGCATATTGGTATAAAAATATATAATTTATTACTAGCTCCGCTATTATAATTAAATCAGAGGTATTATATCTTTATATATATCATTATTTTTGTTTTTTATTTTTTTCTGTTTAATAAACATAATCCATATAGTAGTGATAATTAATAAAGCAAGTAAAAGCAAAGCAAACATTGGAGACCCCAATACACTCACCACAGGAATTACTTCCACTAGAATTTGTGATTGTGATTCAATCGGAGAAGGAGAAGGAGAATCAGCTGGAAGAAAAGGTGTTACATTTTTTACCCATAGTAGCTCTACTATTTCTTGAGGTTGAAATATATTATTTTTATTAGTTTCGCTAACATTAGTTTCAGATGCTTTACTATCTTCACTTCGTGAGTCACTTATCTTAAATTCTTCTATACTTTTTCTATGTACAAAATATTGGGCAAAATTATTATAACTCAAAGAGTCACCCTTAAAGAGCCTGCAAAGTAATAGTTGTTCCTCGTTTTGCGTATTTTTTTTTGTTACCTCCAGTAATCACAGATCTTGGCCATGCTAACTCTGCTGATATAGTATCTGATTTTAATCATTTAAGCTCATCGATCTTTGAAGCCAATTTACTCTTTATATGCTCTAGTTTAGCTTTAAAAGACATAATTTCATAATCTTTTTTTGATGAATTTTTCTGAATCGAAAATATATCTTTTTAGGCTGATACTAACTTACCCTCCAATATCTTAATCATAGTCTGGAGTGATTTTATTTCTTTTAATTGGATATCATACCTGGCTTTATACTCATTCTGGGAAATCTGTGATCAGGTAATCTGAGATATAAGGTTAGTATTGTTTACTTTCAATCATTTAACCTCCTTTATAAGTTGGTAGATATTTTTGAAGAGTTTCTCTTTCTTTTTATTGGATTGTTTTAGATCACATTGTATACGCTTATTGTCTTTATTCAAGACAGAACATTTATTGGCAAGTTGATTACCACACTCTATAGCAATTTCTCGATCTTGATTTGCACAAGCAAGCTAGTTTTCAAGTTTTACTTAATTAGGCAGATATTAACTAGATTGTATGTCACCTAGACTCGAAGAGCTATTGCTTCACAATAATTTACTGCCATCATCTATATCTGACAATATATAAATTCAAGACATATGTGTTTTAACACTAGCTTTATTATTATATCAATAAAATAAATATAAAAAATAGATATAATGTATTAAATAGAATATACATATTTATTAATATGCTAATTTTTTTTTTTTTTTTCAGTGTTAAGGTGACCTCTATAGCTGGGGGCTTTTTATTAGATAATTAACAATGTTTACAATTATGATGAGGGTACAACTAGCCACA